CGTGAGCGACTGAGCGGAGCGCACACGCATAGAGCGGGATAATACGCAGAGCGTCACACCACGTGAAAGTGAATCCTGAGCGGTGAACTCATTTTCGGCAGCCGGAATTTCGGTGCATCTCTAATTATTGGCGACATTAGAAATGGATATTATATAATAGCTGCTTTTTGAACATTTTAGCATTTTAAAAATATTAAAAAATGATTTTTTACACGGCACCCCTGCTCTCGACAGATGCGGCACCCCGGTTGGGAAACACTGTTCTAAATAATGCCGCGAGTGGGGCTTGAGGAAGTGGTGTCGCCTGCGTCTGCGCAGTGCGACCTGATGCAGCCCCTGAAGCGAGACACAGGAAACAGAAATACTGCAAAATAATAATAATAACGCGACTAAACGAGACGAAATAACGTTATAACATTTCGTTTCGTCTCGTTTTGGTCAACGAAAATGAAGAGACATTTTAGCATAGTTTTTATTTTGTAAACCACATTTAGTCTAATTTTTATTCGTCAACGATATTGCATTATACATTTAATTATAGTCATCGTCACATGACCAGCATTTTCGTCTCGTCTCGTCTCGTTTTCGTCACGTGATAAAGGTTCGTTGACGACGATATTTAGTCATAATTTTCGTTGACGAAAGCAACACTAGTTACCGCCGGCCAATCATAACTTCTACTAGCCAAAAAAAAATAATAATAAAACACGGAAATAAACCAACAGCTTGAGGCTGTCTACACAGGACATGACAAAGTGATCGTTGCAAATTTTGTGTCAGTACTAGGGGTGTGCGATATTGACGAAAAAAAAAAATCTAAATATTTTCTGGGATTTTATCGATAAAGATAATTATACGATATATTGCTGAGTGTGTTATTGTGCTGATATCTTTAGGACTACCGGGGACAGCTGACTTCTAAAGTTTTTGATATTCTTCATATTCTGTGTGGCGGTCAGTTCACAGCAGTGATAGAAATTAATCTTTTCCAATAAGTTTAAATAGATTTTTACCTTTATAAAGTCATTTTTTCCCCTAAAAGTGTGCATCATATTTTGAGGTAAAATTCTTACATTTAATCAGTCAATTATAATAATAATAAATTTAGGCTGTTACTGAACAAATTAAATCAGTATCAAGAAAATTAATCTTTGCAGAAGTTGCATTTAGATGTATTTACACATGTTAATTCAGCTCAGAAGGACATGGAATGCTTTAACCTGCAGTTACAAATGCTTAAAAATTTTTTGATATTTTAAACATGAAATGTTGAATACTGATATTTGAAATTATTTACAAAATGAAAAGATACTTTAAATGTGAAATTAAAATCGCCAGTAGGTGGCAGCAAGTCACTGTTAATAAGTGAGTCATTGCGATTGAACCAAATCATTTTAAATGGTTGATTCATTCAGGAAGGAAACGCCATCATGTTGCTCAGAGACACAAAACAGTGCTGTGGCTGTGTTTGGAATGTTTTTTGTTGGCGAAATAGAGCAAAAACGTCTCTTGATATTGACTTATTGTTTATTGAACTGTTGCATAAAATCAATATCACATTTGTAACCGTGCTGATTTTTAAAGAAAAAACAGCACTCTTCATGTGATATTGGTTAACTATATGAATTGATATAACTATATACATTTTCTGCCCCCTTATGTTGAACTATGTGATCATTCTTAATGCATATTAATAGACTGAATCATGTAATGCAAGAACGCACGTCTAACCAGACTTCATCACATCGCGTATGTGTGCACTCTGTAGGTGGATTTTGTTTGGTTTTTGCAAAATACTCGATAATGTCATGATGTCTCATGAGTTCAGTATTTGCGCTAAACATGTGCAGATTTGGCTTGCATAAACTTCCCCAAGAAATTAATGAGTGAACATAACTTACGAAAAATAAAAGGTGGGTTGGCGGGTGTTAATTTCAAACCCTGCGTGTACCAACTCACGAAGCCCCTGCAATTCCCTCACGAACCACCAGGGGTTTGCGGTCCCCACTTTGGGAAACCCTGACTTAGAACATTTTTTCCCAACCTTTTTGAGTCAAAGGCACCTTGTCCAACACACTTTTCAGTATTTCTGCGGTAAATCTATACATAAAGTATGATGATGATGATGATGATGATGATGATTCAGTTATGTCCAGCCCTTGATGATTCTGTGGGCCATTTCTGTTTTCTTTTTCGGCTGTTCTATGCCTAGGCCAGTGTCAAATTTGATGGTGTCAAACGTGTTTTTGGTGGCCTCTTTTTCTTAGTTCTGCTAACTGCACCGAGCATTATTGCATTTTCTAATGAAGCTGTTCACATCACGCAGCCAAAGT